TATCTATCTATCTATCTATCTATCTATCTATCTATCTATCTATCTATCTATCTATCTATCTATCTATTTTTGAGGAAGTATCTCACTGGATAGCTTTGTCTGGCCTGGAAGTCAGTGTGTAGATGAGGCTGTCCTCAAACTCACAGAAATTCCCCAGCCTCACTCCAGAGTTCTGGGATTAAAGGCAAACACTACCACACCCAGCTGGGAGATTCTTTGTTATCTTGTTTCATTTTTACTGTGTGTAAGCTGTTTAACTGATCATAAAGTAATACAGAACCATCTTTCCTCAGCTGACCATAGACATAGCAAGATGTTTTTTGTAAGGTAATTTAGCACTCTTTCTCTTCACTCTTGTTAGCCATGTATGTATATATTGTGTATGTATGAATGTATGTTTGATATGTGTATGTATTATCTCTATTTTTCAATAAGATCTCAATTGTTTTTAAATTTAATCTTTCTTTTATATCACTCCTCTAGTAAGAAAATTCCTTAGTCATACTTTAAAAATTATACATTACTCTCTATGCCTTTCTTTTTGGAAATACAAACAGAAAATTTCCATGCTTTTCCTTTTTCTTTTCCTTTTTCTTCTTCTTCTTACTCTTCTTACTCTTGTTCAGCTTCCTCTCTCCTTTGGACCACCATTATTCTAATCAGCAAATGCTGCTGTATTTTGCATGTTCAGCTTTATCTTGGACATTTGGAAAACTGAACTGAATAAATCAGACCCATTCCCATTATACATGTTGCTTTTACAGTTTTAATAAATCTTAGTAAATTCAGCTAGGCTCTCAGCTGAAACTTATGAATGAAGAGTAGAACAAAACATACTGATCTTGATTTAAGAAGAGCTGACATCATTTACTATCTTTGGCTTCTGTTAATACTTAAAAAGATTATAGAAACCACTGTTTATATATATCAAATTTAATCACAATATTCATATTTTGAACATTTGGTACCATCAAAACAATGCTAATCACTCTCTCTGTTTTACAAGATTGGAAGCATCTGTTAATTTTTTGCAGGCTGTTGGAAAATGGATTAAAGTATCCTACCAGGTTATTGGTGTTGCATTTGTCAACTAAAATTAATATTAATTACTTTCATTATTCATAAACTGTTAACTTAATAGGGATGAAAGGCCTTTCTGGAAGTATGTGAATAGTCTAATTTATTTGGACTGATTTATTATGAAAATCTGGTTTCACATTTGTTGGCTTTTTGAAGTAATCACATTTTGTAGCAGGTGCGTCATATTTTCCAGATATGGCTAATAAACTCGTTTATAAATAATTTTTCAACTGAATGGTCATGGCAAATAGAAATAGGTCATGGATTTTGTACTTAAGAACAAATCAAGCTTAGTTATCTGATATTGTACTTCAGTGGGCAAAGTGCTAGAGTAGAGAGAGTGACAAGCCCTGGTTTATCACAGTGTCTTGGTGGTGTTCAAATGTCATATTGCATTCAAAACATAATTCTTTTTATACATGAAAGTGCATCAGATGTCCCTAACTACCAGAAAAGCCTACCTTAAGTTGAATGATCTAATTTATAACAGAAAAATATGGTTCTTAGGAATGCATTCTAATAAAGAGGTAATTCCCAAATGGATGCAACCTAACTTACAAGGAATATGACAGACTAATTTAGGAAGGTTACGGAAAAGTAAGTTGTGAATGAAATATTTCTCTCGGGTTTATTACTTAGTCGTGTCCATGACTGAATTTCTCAAGATCTGAAGACATACGGAAATTATGAAATAGGTAATGAAGGTCTTGTTTCACTGTTAGAAAAATATCACATCATTATCAATTATGGAATATTCTCTGTTGCATTATTGGAGGTTTTGGAATTTATACTTAAAATGTCATAGAAATATGGGCCAGTGAGATGGCTCAGCAAATAGAGTGCTTGTTGTGCAAACTTGATGACCTTGGATCCTGTGGACAGAGATCTGACCCCCCAACGTTGTCCTTTGACATTGTCTATTTCAGTGTTCCATGTGCTTGCTCATGACGCACAGCCACAGCCACCCTCCACACCCCTAACCTCCTCCTTTTTTGTGGACAGCATCGCTTCAATATAAGAGATATGTTTCTGTCCACAGTGTTATGTGAAACACCTACACAAGCAGGTGCAGCTTCCTTGCTGTGTCTGTGTATATAGCTTATTATCTTTGTCTGTTCTCTTTCTCTCATATTAGCAAGTGCAGAGTGCAGAGGACATGGCTGGAGTCCTCTGTCTAATGGTGGGGGATGCTCCTTCTCTTCCATATTCCACATCATACTTAGTATTCAGTTTTGGCAAAGATTTGTACTGGTGTGCTGGTAGACTTCATCTTGTTATCTTTCACCCTTTATTTCTTAGTTTTTTTGTTTTGTGTTCTGTATTATTTGCCTAACTACTTATTTAATTTATTAATGAAATGAGATACTTAACATTTGCCCTCTAATTGCTTCCTGTATTCTTCCCCTTTTTAGCAAATTACTCTTTGCCTTGTCTACATCTTATTTATAAC